GAGGAGGAGGAGGAGGACAAGGACAAGGACGAGGACAAGGACGAGGAGCAGGAGGAGGAGGAGGAGGAGGACGAGGACGAGGAGGTGGACGAGGACGAGGAGGAGGAGGAGGAGGAGGACGAGGAGGAGGAGGAGGAGGAGGAGGAGGAGGAGGAGGAGGAGGAGGAAGGGGGTGGAAATGAGAAGGAGAAGGCCCTCGTCAGCAGGTGACGGCGGCAGCGGGGCTCGCCGGCGGCGAGCGACCCAGACCCCGTCGGGTCATGAAAAGATCACCACGAGAGGTTTTTGTGGCTATTTTCGGCCTCGGCGGGGGCCGCAGCCTGGGGGCTTGCACCGACCCTCGGGGCCGTCAACAAACGGCTCGGGATGAAGAACTGGTTCCGGAGAAGTTGTGAAACAAATCACGACGACGGGGGTCTGGGGAGCAAGGGGATCTAGGCCCCCAGATAGGGTCGGAGTAGATGGGGTCGGAGGATCGCGCCGCATCGCCGGTGCATCGCCGATGCGGCTCGATGCGGAGCCCGATTTGCTTCACGTCGACGTCGGCGATGCATCGGCGACGTCGCGATGCATCGCCGACGTCGCCGGTACAACGCAGGTGCATCGCCGATGCATCGCCGATGCATCGGCGATGCGGCGCGATCCTCCGACCACATATACTCCGACCCCATCTAGGAGGCCTTTAGGGGGGGGAAGCGGGAAGGAGGAGCAGGAAAGGTTCCCCTACTGCTACCCTTCGCCAGTTTTCGCCTGTTTGGGCCTCCTGGGAGGCCCTCGTCGCCACCGCTGGGTTCGCCTCGAAATTCTGGTCAGAACGCACTCTGGGAGATGTTCGGGGAGTGGCGGTATCGGTGATTACCTTTTAAATGCCCCAGAAGGAAGTTCGAGGTTCGAGACGGTCTTGCCTCTGGGAGCCGTTTCCGGGCCCCGGGGCCCCCGAAATTCGATCCAGGGTGAAGAACCACGTCGGATGGGCCCCGGGACGGCTTTGGGGACGGACTTTGACACACATGCGGCGGCGCGCCCAGGGGGGGGGAAGTGAGAAGGAGGAGGCTTTCTCAGAAGGCGGCGGGGCGGCGGGGCCTCGCAGAATCTGACAAGTTGTTTCTATGTCTTCGGGGAAGGGTTCAGACAGCTTCTCAGAAGGCCGGAGGACGTCCGAGCCTCCTGTGAAGGCCCGCCACCTCTCACTTCCCCCCAGGCTCTCCGCCAAGCTCGGCCAGGCGAAACCCAGACTACTCGTAAGTCGGGCCCGTCCCTCTACAGGGTGAATAATCAAAAATAGTCCCAAAACAGTCTGGGGATTTTTTGTTGTGTATGTTTGTGCATCCTTTGAATATTTTTAGGGTCTTTCTTATTTTTCGTCCAGACTCCCCCTGTAGGGGGACAGGCCCGACCTAATACTACTCGTGCCCAGATCTTCGACAATCTGACTTCTGCAATCCGGGCGAAGTGTTCCTCGGTCTCCGGGGTTTGTTTTGGGGGGCCCTATGGACCATCGAAAATGGTGCTGGGGCGCAAGGCTACCCCCCGGGGAGGTGGTCGGGCACGGTGGGGGCATTCGATAAGGAACGCGCCCAGCGGGTTCAGACCCTGGAGGGTTCCTCATCTGATTAGGGCGGCGGTGATATCCATGGCCTAGCCACGATTGGAGTTCCACTGGCTTCCAGACCCTGGATTCCTTATGCAATGGTTCCTTATTCAATGCCCTCACTGTACGCTGGGGCCGCAGATTGAGCAAATCACGTCGGCGGATGTCAGGGTTGGATGCACGTTTGGGGAACCTCCCTGGCGGCCCACCTGCTGGATCGGATCGGCTCTTTGTCGACTCCAGTTCGGCTCTAGTTCGACTCTCGCTCGATTCAAGTTCGATTCAAGTTCGACTCAAGTGGACGGACTGTCGGCGCAGCATCGACGGATGAGCGGAGCGACCAAGAAGGTCCTCTGAGGGAGCATCTAACCCTCGGGTCCTGAACAACTCGCGACGGGAGGTTTTCGGCTATTTTCGGCCCATAGGGCACTCGCCGGGCCCGGGGGCGGTCAAACAGCAACCCAGGATGAAAAACTTCGGGGGCGGCAAAGGGGGGGGTGATGACTAGGGGGGGTGGACATCATGGCGGGGGCCATGATATTTCCCCAGATTTCGTGGGCCCTCTTCTTATTTCATTGCGTCCCTGGCCCCCCT